ACCTTCACACTGGACTCAGGTGCTTCTCGCTCCTTCTTTCGTGACCGCACTGTCCTTGAGCCACTCGCTCGGCCAGTTGCTGTCTCTCTTGCTGACCCCTCTGGGGGTCCGGTCATTGCGACCTCCTCCACTGTCCTTCCTTGTCCTGCGGTCCCGTCCGGCACGCTGTCAGGTCTCTACCTCCCCTCGTTCTCTACGAACTTGGTGGCAGGCCGAGAGCTCCAGGACGGGGGTGTTCACCAGTTCACCCCTGCCTACGAGCGCGTGACACACTGCACGTGTGCTCGGACGGGTCGCCACCTGGCTACCTTCACTCGAGAGCCGGGGTCGGACCTGTACACACTGACCACTGAGTCCCCTCAGGTAGCTGCGTCTGCGTCTGCGTCAGGTCAGCTGTCCGCCCCCTGCTCGTGTCGCTCTCTGGTGCATGAGACTGTCCTTTGGCACCACCGCCTTGGTCACCCGTCTGTGCAGCGCCTTCGGGCCATGCACAAACGGGACCTTGTTGCTGGTCTTCCCAGGGTGCTCCCTCCCCTTCCCGACTCGCCTGCTCCTCCCTGTATTCCCTGTGTTGAGGGACGGCAGCGCGCCGCTCCTCACTCCTCCTCCTTTCCCCCGACGACTGCTCCCTTGCAGACGCTCCACATGGACGTGTGGGGCCCAGCCCGCGTCCGTGGTCAGGGTCAGGAGAGGTACTTCCTGATTGTTGTTGACGACTTCTCGCGCTACACCACGGTCTTCCCCTTGCGCGCCAAGGGTGACGTCCCTGATGTCTTGATCCCTTGGATCCGCAGATCTCGTCTCCAGCTCAGTGAGCGTTTCCGCTCCGACTTCCCTGTCCTGCGTCTGCACTCTGACAGAGGTGGGGAGTTTTCCTCTGGCCTATTGGAGGCCTTCTGTCAGCAGGAGGGCATTGAGCAGTCGTACACGCTTCCGGCCTCTCCACAGAAGAATGGGGTTGCTGAGCGCCGCATTGGTCTGGTCATGGAGGTCGCTCGTACCTCCTTGAGCCATGCGGCTGCCCCCCATTTTCTGTGGCCGTTTGCAGTCCGATACGCTGCGCATCAGCTCAACCTCTGGCCCCGTGTCTCCTTGCCCGAGACTTCTCCGACGCTGCGTTGGACGGGAGAGGCTGGCGATGCGTCGCGTTTTCGGGTCTGGGGATCCCGAGCTTTTGTCCGCGACACATCCGCGGACAAGCTCTCCCGTCGCGCTGTCCCCTGCGTCTTCCTTGGCTTTGTCCCGGACGCCCCTGGCTGGCAGTTCTACCACCCCACCTCGCGTCGTGTCCTGGCCTCTCAGGACGTCACTTTTGACGAGTCCGTCCCCTACTACCGCCTCTTCCCCTACCGCACTGCCCCGCTCCCCCCCCCCGCCTCTCTTCCTCGCTCCAGGTGCTGAGGTACCAGACCCCCTCCCCCCTCAGGGTGCCGCTCCCTCAGGTGTGTCCCAGGTAGACCCGGGTGAGCCTGTCGAGGTAGCTGTTGACTCTCGTCCTGCTAGGGGTGCTGAGCCTGGGGGTGCTGCGTCTGGGGGTGCTGAGCCTGGGGGTGCTGCGTCTGGGGGTGCTGAGCCTGGGAGTGCTGCGTCTGGGGGTGCTGAGCCTGGGGGTGCTGAGCCTGGGAGTGCTGAGTCTGGGGGTGCGGAGCCTGGGGGTGCGGAGCCTGGAGGTGCGGAGCCTGGAGGTGCTGAGCCTGGGGGTGCTGAGTCTGGGGGTGCTGAGCCTGAGCGTGCTACACCTGGAGGAGCCCTCTCCTCCCAGCAGCTGCAGGAGAGGTACCTCGAGTACTGCCGCCTCCGGAGAGGTGCTGCTGGAGCTCGTCCCGGTACTTCCCCTCCTACCCAGGAGCTCCCCCCCATTCAGCAGATCCGCGAGTGGTACACACGGCGCTGCAGTCTTCGGAGTGGTGCTCCTGGTGCTGCGGACCCTGGGGGTGGCGCTGCTGCTGGTGCTGAGGACCCGGACGTTGGAGCTGCTGCTGGTGCTGCGGACCCGCCTGGTGGAGCTGCTGCTGGTGCTGAGGACTCGGACGTTGGAGCTGCTGCTGGAGCTGAGGACCCGGGCGGTGGCGCTGCTGCTGGTGCTGAGGACCCGGACGGTGGAGCTGCTGCTGGTGCTGAGGACTCGGACGGTGGAGCTGCTGCTGGAGCTGAGGACCCGAGCGGTGGCGCTGCTGCTGCTGCTGAGGACCCGGGCGTTGGAGCTACTACTGGTGCTGAGGACCCGAGCGGTGGAGCTGCTGCTGGTGCTGTGGACCCGGACGCTGGAGCTCCTACTGGTCCTGAGGACCCGGCCGCTGGAGTCTCCTCTGCTTCTGGAGACGCTGCGCGGCCGCGACCGTACTTCGTACCGCTCCTTCAGCAGGTTCTTGGGCAGGCTCCTCCTCCTTGTCCTCCTCCCTCCGTAGAGTGTCCTCCGCCTGTCCAGCCGCAGTCACAGTTACCGCCTACCTCGCCTCTCCCTGCTCCCTCTCCTTACACTGGTCCCACAGGAGGTCTTACAGAGCGTCGTGAGCCTGAGTCTCGTCCTGCGTCGCCTGTTCGTCCTGCTCGCACTGGTAGTCGTGTCCGTCGTGAGCGTCCTCCTCCTGTCCCAGGCACTCACTACATGACTCTGCGTCCCTCTACTGCTCCTCAGCGTGTCCCTCTACCGTCTCCTCCTGCGTCCTCTTTGCCTGACGTTCCGGACCCTGAGTCTGACCGGTATCGTGCTGAGCACCCTACTGTCACGCGTCTCCTCGCTACTGTTGTCACTGACCCTACCTTTGAGTCCTCGGCTGTGTCTGCTCTGGTCGCTGAGTTGGTTGACTTTGCTGCTGCCTGTCGTCTAGACTACGCTGCTAGCCTTGTTGCTGAGTCTGAGTCTGAGTCTGTCTGTCCTCCGTCCGTCGGGGGTGAGTGTGCTCTTGGCACGGACGTCCTTGAGGACAGACAGGAGGAGTTCCAGTGTCTTGCTGCTGCTTTGCCCCGTCTCGTGTCCTTGCTAGTTGCCCCTGAGGGAGACCCGGATGCACCAGACATCCCGACCCCGCGCACTTACGCTGAGGCGATGGCGGGTCCCTACTCCTCTCAGTGGCAGACAGCCATGGACGCCGAGATGGCTTCCTGGAAGTCCACACGCACCTACGTCGACGAGGTTCCCCCTCCTGGGGCGAACATCGTCAGTGGCATGTGTATTTTCAGGGTGAAGCGGCCGCCGGGTTCTCCGCCTGTCTTCAAGGCGCGTTACGTGGCTCGAGGCTTCAGTCAGCGAGAGGGAGTTGACTTCTTCCAGACCTTCTCCCCCACCCCGAAGATGACTACTCTTCGGGTGCTGCTGCACATAGCCGCTCACCGCGACTACGAGCTTCACTCACTTGACTTCAGCACTGCTTTCTTGCAGGGCAGCCTGCACGAGGAGATCTGGCTGCGCCGCCCACCTGGCTTCACTGGGTCGTTTCCTCCTGGTACCCAGTGGAGGCTTCAGCGGCCGGTCTACGGTCTCCGCCAGGCTCCGCGTGAGTGGCACGACACACTGAGGACTACACTTGCGGCTCTTGGGTTCGCGCCTTCTACAGCTGACCCGTCGCTGTTCCTGCGCACCGACACTTCGCTGCCGCCGTTCTACATCCTCGTGTACGTCGACGACTTGGTCTTTGCCACTGCTGACACTGCAGGACTCGCCTACGTGAAGTCGGAGCTGCAGAGGAGACACACGTGCACAGACCTGGGTGAGCTGACAAGCTATCTTGGCTTGCGGATCACCCGGGACAGAGCACGGCGCACCATCACCCTGACTCAGTCACACATGGTGCAGCAGGTTCTCCAGCGCTTCCGCTTCACGTACTCCTCGCCTCAGTCCACTCCTCTGCCTACCGGTCACTCGCTCTCAGCTCTGCCTTCGGATGAGTCCGTAGAGCCGAGTGGCCCGTATCCAGAGCTTGTGGGCTGCCTCATGTACCTGATGACCTGCACTCGTCCTGACCTTGCATACCCTCTTAGCATCCTTGCACGCTATGTCGCTCCTGGCCGTCACAGGAAGGAGCACATGGATGCCGCTAAGAAGGTGTTGCGCTACTTGTGCAGTACGTCGGGCATGGGGCTTGTGCTTGGAGGGCGAGACCGAGTTGTTCTCACAGGGCACTCAGACGCTTCTTGGGCAGACGACCAGGCCACTCAGCGGTCGTCTCAGGGTTACACCTTCAGCCTTGGCTCTGGCTCAGTTTCTTGGCGCTCTACACGTTCTTCTTCTGTTCTCGGCTCCAGTTGCGAGGCTGAGATCTACGCCACAGCCATGGCTGCCCAGGAGCTACGCTGGCTGACCTACCTGCTGACCGACCTCGGAGAGCGGCCTCGTTCTCCTCCAGTACTGTACGTCGACAACAAGGCTGCCATTGCCTTGTGTGAGGAGCACAGACTGGAGCACAGAACGAAGCACATCGCCCTGCAGTACTTCCTTGCTCGAGAGCTGCAGCAGCGCGGTCAGCTTTGTATTCGCTACGTGGCCACTGAGGCCAACACTGCTGATGTGTTCACCAAGGCGCTTCAGCCTCGTGACCATCAGCGCTTCTGCACTCTACTAGGCCTTGTGCCTACTGGACCTCACTTGCTTACCTCTTGACTTTGCTTGTACTGTGATCACTATATATATCTATACCTGCATGTTTACTCTTGCTAGGTTGTGATCACTGTATCTCTTGCTCTGTTATAAACTTGCATGTGAACTGGTCTTGTGACCACTAGCTTGTGCTCGGAATTTGTGTGGAATCCTTGAGATCCACCCTGAGCTTTTAGCTTGTTGCCTTGCTTTGCCTTGACTGGTCTTGTGACCCCTAGGTCTCCCCCACTTTGCCTATGGGGGTGTGTCACACATTATACATGTTGTATTTGTGTAGGCTGTAGTGGGTTAGCCTATAGGGGGGTCACAACATTAGGGTTTTATATTTGTACTCACAATCCTTGCTAGTCCATCATTCCAGTTCGCTCTCGTTGACACCCCAGACTCGCCGATTGCTAGCAGATCACCCAACCTTAGCTCCCACAGCAGCTCCGCATCCTTCTGCCCGCCAATCGGCGTTGTTCTTTTCAGCAAAATACGCTTGTTGAAGGTAACGCGCTCCTTTTCCACCGCTTCACGAGTGTTTGCTTCCAGAAGATTACCTAGCGGCGTTTTCATAAAGTTCTCGACCGCCACCTTCCAGCGGGGACTCTTCCCCTCCCAGTGTCGAAGCAGCTTCTCATGAGCAAAGAAGGATTCGATCCCCATGGGCAAATCCGCCGCCCACGTCATGAGATGCTTTTTCAGCACGTTCGTCTCCAGCGCCAGTAAACCCACGCGGCGAGCCGTGAGACACGCCAAGATCATCTCCGGGTCATGCAGGCCCACACCCCCCAGCTTCCTTGGAGTGTGAAGCAGATCTTTGCTCCAGAGCCGAAACACCGTGTCTGACGTTGCCTTATTTCCAGAGACGAAGTTGTAGAAAGTCTTTGAGACAGTGCCCCACAGCTTCGCTGGAGGCGGGTAGACTTGTGCTTGAAACGCTGCTTTGGGCATCGTATAACAGTTAACCACCGCCGTCCTTGCCACTGTTGGAAGGAATTTCTGTTGCCACTTGTTAATCTTCCCTGTCATTGCCCCTGCAGTTTGTTCCCACGTTGGCAGGCAGCTTCCCGATGGAGTGACCCAAACCCCCAGCAGCTTCTCCGCTTCATCCGCCTTCGCCCAACGGAACCTGTTCGCCCGACCAGTCGTTCTGCCGAGATTATTTCCCAACGGTAAGATAACCGACTTGTCCCTGTTGGTCGCTAGTCCCGAGGTCAGTTCAAACTTCGCTAACACTTGCTCTGCCCTGATGATCTGCTGCTTCCCCTCCAGGACCAAGGTGGTATCATCCGCGTAGCCGATATACGCCAACCGCTCGCTCTTCTTGCAGATGCCCAATTTTCGCTTCAGGACCAGCTGCGCCAAAGGCTCAACCGCACACAGAAAGAGGTACGGAGCCAGGGGACAGCCCTGCCGGACCCCCGAAATCACCTCCACACCGTCTCCCATCCAGCCATTGACTAACAGACGTGTCTGCGTTCCCGCATGCAGGCCTTCCACCCACCGCACCAACCGTTCAGGAAATTCCATCACCCGAAGCGTTCGGAAGAGATAGCCATGGGAGACAGAATCAAACGCCTTCTTGAAGTCAACCAAGAGGAGAAACCAATCCTCATTGTCATTTCGCGCCGTGTCAATGATATCAGCCACAAGCCCCACTGCATCCGTCAGCCGCCTCCCCGGGAGAAAGCCATACTGCTCCGGTGAGATCACCCGACTCAGGAACTTCTTCATCCTGTCAGCCACAACTCTCGCCAGCACCTTGTAAGTGAAGTTGAGGAGAGTGATGGGGCGGTAATTGTTGAGCTGATCTTTGTCCCCCTTTTTGTGCAGAAGTATCGTTACTGCTTCCTTCACCTCCGTCGAGAGGACTGCTGTTGATGCGAAATCCTTTGCTAATGCCATGAAACCTTTGCCCAACAAATCCCAGTGTGCTTCAAACAGTTCCTTTGGCAGGCCATCCTTCCCCGGCGACTTGTTCGCCGCCATCGCACCGAAGGCTTTCTTAACTTCTTCTTCCGTCCAATCCGCCGCCAGTTCCTCTGCTTCCCAGCTTCTCAGCTTTTTATCCGACGCAGGGCGCCAGTCATCTTCCAGTTGACCCCGGTCCCGCCCGAAGATGTCTGCGAAGAACTCCGATGCTGCACGAAGAATGCCTTGGGAGTCAGAGACAACCCCTGACGCCGTCTGCAGCTCTGCAATCTGAGTACTTGCTTTCTTAGCCTGCACCAGCGCCGTCAAATGCTTTGACGCCACCTCCCCCCGAAGCTCCATCCGCATCCCAGACATCAGGAACAGCTTGTCCTTTCTCGACGCTTGATACTCACGCAGTTGCGCCTCCTTCACAGCTAACCGCTCGCTTGTTGGTTTGCAGGACGGATCCCGCATAATGGCCTGACGGAGTTCCGCCACCTCATCCGCCAGATGAGTCACCGTCGCTTTCACCTGCTTGCCATCTTCTCTGGCGAACGCCCGAAGCCCAGCCGCCAGCCGCGAAAGAAGCAGTTCGAAGCTGCTACCATCAGTGACAACACACTTCTCCATCGTCGCTTCCACAATCCGCCGAACTCCAGGCTTGTGGACCATAGACGCGTGGAGCCTCCAGAGACCGGGACCAAGACAGATCTTGGCATCGATCCGAAGAGCCACCCGTATCGCAAAGCTGTGATCAGAGATGTACTCCACCGGCATCACATGAGAAGCTTGAATCAGGTGAGGTAAGAGAGAGTGGGAGATAAGAGCCCGGTCGATGCGCGTGCTGGCCTGCATCGCTTGAGAAAAGAAGGTGAACTCCCGTTTTCTAGGATATAACGTGCGGAAAGCGTCGGAGAGCTGGAAAGCGGTACAACGGTTAAAAAGTCTATCGTTTTCCGCAGATGAGCCTACGCGTGACGACTTATCTAACAACGGATCCTCTATGATATTAAGATCACCGATGATGAGCAGGTGGTTGGACGGCGGGATCAAGTCTACTACCGGGCCAAGGGAGTCCCGAAGAAAAGCCGCACGGGAAGTCGCATTGGCCGGGAGGTAACAAGCTATGACGGTAAGATGCAGCCCGAGGCCATGGACTTCCGCGGACACTAGTCGACCGGACGGGTGGACTACTACGCTGGAGAAACTAAGGAGCGGTGAACGGCATAGAAGAGCTACACCGCCAGCCTTCGTCCTAGGTGAGGTAGCTGCTGCTAAACTGAAGGTCGGGTGAGACCAGAAAGGATGGTCAGATGCTAATCTAGTGTCAGAGAGGGCAATGATGTCAGCTGCTTGTCTGGACCAGTCAAGTACTCGCTGCTGCTTAGTCTTATCTCCTGGGCCGTTGACATTAAGGCCTGCGAAACTGATGAGACTTTTTTTACTCATTTGATAACAACTTGAGAACCCCTACGCATCCACAGGGTTAAGAAGAGAACTGCACTAACTACTGAGAGGACTACCGCTGACGCTGCTGCCTTCCGACTGAGCTGCTCTTGCCTTACTCCTTCTTCGTGACGTTGAGACTGGTGCGCTCGAGCGAGGCACGAGTCGCAGAACCGAGCTTCTCCAGATGGATGAGGTGATTCGCCGAGGTGACGTGTTCCGCTGCAGTCATGAAGCTCTTCCCTTTCGCCTTCCCGCAACCCACTTGCGTGCAGAGCCATTCTTCCCGGTTCCCTCCAGTGGAGATCAGGACCATGGCCGGATCCAGCAGGATAGGAGTTATCAGCGGTGATGCCGGAAGAGACGCAGCTGCAGAATACGACTTGGCAGTTAGCACAAGAACAAGTAAGAGAGGAGGTGAGAGCAATCTGAGAAAAGCAGTTACCATTGATACGGTGAACCCTTCCCAAGGTAAGATTCCACTTCCCTATGTTGTTTTGCCGCTCTGTAATGAAAGCATCATGATTGACGTCATAATGCTGTCCACCGCAGAGCAGGCAAGACAGCGCAGGAAAGTGGACCAAGAAGCGGCGACCGAGCTCCAGAGGGTCCTCAAACACATGACGCCAGCGGTAGCGGTCGCCAGGGTGAGGGATCACGAGGCCCTTAACGACGTCAGTATCAGCACCAGTGACGGGATGCAGAACACGATGGAAACAGACGCCATCCTTGAAGGCCGACTGCCGCCGATTCCGCAGCTGGTAAACCACCATCAGCTCCCGCAACATCTTCGGGGTCTTCGTCGCAGGTACGTCGCGAATCACCACTTCAACCGCTTGCTTGTTCGTCGCACGCTCGCGCACAAAAGCAGGATCATCCGTGTGCTGCCAGTAGAGCCGGAAGACCGTGCCATTAGGACGCGTGTAGTCAACTTCCTTGGATCTGATACTCATTATGTCTTCCTCGCGCAGGAGGGAGACCAGCAGACGGCTGTAACGGGTCTTCGCCACATACGCCGGTAGCAGCTCCTGAAACTTCGCCGAATCGACCGCACCATCAGAAAGCGTTGACGACCAGACACGCCGCATCAGGGTTCGCACCGTGGTGATGATGGAAGTGACCTCCAGAGCAAGAGCCACGGGGATAAGCAGGATCGTCGTATGACGAACACGGTTGAACGCCTCCGTCCTGACGTCGACTTCAAGCTCCTCGTCAGAATCATCTTCAATGAAGCCACTGTCAGGAGGCGCCGTACGAAGAGAGCTCAACTTCTCCTCCAAGGAAAGTCCAGAGCCACTTGCAGGAGCATCAGGGATTGTCACATTAACTGACTCCTCCGGAACCTTGTCCTTGCCTTTGTCAGCAGGAACAGAAGAAGCGGGAGCGGGAGCCGCGACAGGCGCATCCACAGAAGCCGAAGGAGCTTCCAGCGACGAGACGTCTGGCAGGGTCTTGGCCTTTCCCTTAGGTGTCATGGTGCAATGATGAGGACGAGAAGGCTGGAAAGCTTGGAAATAGACGTCAGATGTCTGAAATGATGCCTTAACTCTGAGCACCGACGTGGTAAATAGGAGAAATCTAGAGGCTGCAGACCATTGTTCTTGATGTTGGTGATGAGAAACCGAGGTAGACGCCTCGGGATCCGTGTCTGTAATAGACTTGATAATGGTACCGTAGACACTGTTAGACCACGCGATGCTTAAAACTAGAGTCCGAAGCCTAGGAGTTAGCAGCAAACCAAAAGGAACCTTGAAGTTAGTTGCCTGACAGGAAACCAGATCTCGTATACCGAAAGATACAATGCCCGACGTGTAGGCATAAAAGCAGTATCGATCGATGCGCCTTGTAACGAGGAATCCAGATCCGAAGTCTTTAAAGTCAACTGACACAGAACCTTCACGGGATCTAGGTTTGAAGCTGCGCGAAAATATCCATGGCGGACACATGGCGGTCTTCGCTGTGTTCTCCCCTTCAGTGCTGCGCGATCGGCGAGGACCCATGTATCACGAGCTTCGAGCGCAGCGACTTTGGCATCCATTGTGGCGTGCCACTCCTTAGCGTAAGGTCCAGCGAGGGCTTGGCGCGGGGTTTTGGGTTCAACCGCCTTGGGCGGGCGGGAAACCGCGGTGTGGAGGCCGAGGATGTGGAGACCCGAGAGGCCAGGGCCGTGCCATTGGTCGCTGGTGATTTCCACAACGTCATCGTCCGAGTCGTAGCCGCTGGAGGGGGTCGGACTGAGGAGAGAGTCTCGCGAAGATTCGAGGGGAGCGCTGTCCTCATCTTCGTCATCATCACTCCATGGGTGGGGACCAGGATGGGGACCGTAGGGTCCTGGTCCGCGAGAACTGCTTTCGCTTCGTCCTCAGGCGTGGCGAAGCTGCACGGGGGGCGGTCGTAGTCCGCGACGTTGGTTTCCCCTCTAGTGCGGTCGGCACGGTGGTCACACTAAAACTTGCGGATGGTAAGGTTTTCGTAGAAGATGACGTCGCGCGCCGCTACCACCCGGGAAGTATCGTGATCGAGGATGTTCCAGGCATTGTGTTCAAGGCTGATGCTGAGATGCATGCCCCAGTGAGCGCGACGTTCAAACTTCCCCGTGGTTGCCGCTGGTGGCCGGTACTGGACCATGCATCCCCAGACACGGAGCATGGAGACGTCGCCCTGTTTGCCAGTGAATTTGAGGTGTGGGAAGAGGTTGTCGGTGTTGGCGGTGGTGCTGAGCAGGTTGTGGAGACGGACGGCGTGATGCATGGCGTAAGGCCGATATTTCGCGTCAACGTCACTCTGCTGCAGAACGGCACGGACCTTGGTCATGAGCGTGCGGTTGGTTCGTTTCGCGACGCCTTGCTGGGGATGCGCATAGAGAAGGGAGAGCTTGTGAACAATTCCCTTCTCCTGGATGTAAGCCGCCAGCTTGTCGCTTTTGAATTCCGCTGCGCAGTCAGTTTGCCAGAGCTTGAGAGTGCAGCCTGATTGTGTCTCCGCATTGGCATGCCAGACCTTGAAGGTCTCGAACGCTTCGCTCCTCTGAGAGACGTTGGCCACCCAAACGAAGCGAGAGTGAGTGTCGACAAAGGTGAGGGTGAATTCTTTGCCGTTCAGGCCAATCGAGGTGAGAACGAGAAAATCATTGTAGACTTTCTGAAGTTTCTCATAACGGTTCGTGCTGGGCTCGAGGAGCTTGAAGGGCCGATGAGTCAGTGCGGCTTCGGGGCATGTGGTGCATGTGCGCTGAGTGGTATTGATGGGAAGGGGCATTCCGTCAAGGCGGAGCAATGTCCCAGGTAGGAAGACATGCGCGCGGATGCAATTGTTGAGAACCTCTTGGGAGGGATGACCGAGCCGTTTGTGTCGAGGTCATTTTGTGCGAGCGAGCGTAAAGGGCGATGAGTTCGGCGATGTTTGTGGGAGTTGGCTCTAGGATGGGTTGGGGTGAGATTGACAGTCCAAGAGTGAGGATGAGATCACGAGCACTGGTGGCTGTGGGTGTGTCATCGGTCGTTTCTTCTTGAAGGTTTGGGCGAGGCTATTGGTGAGGGGGCAATCTGTGAGTGACTGTAGGGCTAGGATGGTGTGAGTCAGTGGGGCCGATTGGCGTGGATCCAGTGTGAAGGGGGCTTCGGGGATAGTTGCGATAAGGCAGGATGGTGTCGCGGTCTGTGGGGGGTCGAGAGTCTGTTGAAGAGCCCCGAGAGTCACGAGGGGGGTGAGGTTCCTAAGGGAGGAATGCCGAGAGGGCGAGGGGAGCCGTAGGGTCCTGCGGCTTCTCCGGCGGCTTCTGCTTCGGCGCGCGCTATTTCCACTTCAATCGGTTCTTCCTCCTCTTGTGGCGGTGTTCCCCAGTTAGGTGTTGTGCTTCCCCATCCAGCGTCGTCGTTTCCACCTCCCCAGCCTCCAGCTGCTGCTGCCGTCGCTACCTTAGCTTCTTCGTCTACGCGGTAGTGTCGCTCCTCTTCTTCGTGGTGCTGAAACTGCTCCGTTGTCATGGTGCGTTTGGACTAGGGGTGAGTAACGTGATATGTCTCCCAGGTCAGGGGAAGGGGGTTGTTGTTTGCATCGAACGCACCAGGGCCGGTGTAACGGGTGAGGAGATCGAGGCGGTTGTGGACAGTGGGGTCGGTCCGAGCTTTGCTGTGCTGCAAGTTCTCCATCCCGCATGCACGTTGGGTGAGGGGTTTGCCAATCGGCTTCTTTGACGATATCCAGACCAGCTGTCTGGATGAGTGACTTGGTGGCCTCAGCTGAGGCTGGTTCAGAAGGTTCATTTGGGGCAACAGGTTCGTAGGCTACTGCGGCGAGTCGTCGCGCAGCTGCATCGGATGATTCGCCTTCGTCAGCCGCTGCTTTGCCTCTGTTGGATGAGGGATCTCGTTGCGTGGGCGACTGGGGCCTGTTCGTTCTATCTTCTGTGAAGGAGGCGGTCGGTCTGCGACTGTTTCGGCAGAGGCCATCAGGTCCAGGGGCGTGAAGGTCAATCTCCCTTGGTTGAGCGTGGTGCTTGACCTAGGGGCGGCCGTCAGGGTGAGTTGGCTTATGTGAGGCCATCACGTCCAGGGGCGTCAAGGTCAATCTTGACAACGAGAGTTGTGTGTTGGCCCCGTCCTCGCTTGGGCGGAGCCGACTTCATGGTCGGGTGTAGGGGTGCAGCCGACCTGCAGCAGTGGGCGAGGTAGTCGATGAGGTTGGTCGACATGCACGGGAGCCACGGCAAGGGCACCGACTTCGGAAGGGCGCCAGCTTAGGGAGGTCGACCTGGGGAGTCGACCTGCGGAGGGCGTCGACTTGGTGACGCCAACTTGGGGCAGCCGACTTGGGTGGTCGGCTGACAGAACTGCTGGTCGACTTGGTTGGTCGACCAGGCCTGCTGGTCGACTTGGTGGCTGGTCGGCCAAGCCTGCTGGTCGACTTGGTTGGTCGACCAGACCTGCTGGTCGACTTGGTTGGTCGACCAGGCCTGCTGTCGACCTGGTGGTCGACGAAGGAGGGGCCGACGTCGACCTCGACAGAAGGATTCGGGACGCCGATCTGCTGGGCGTCAAGTAGCAGGGCGTCAACTTGGTGACGCCGACTTCGGGTAGCCGACTTTGGGGTCGGCTGACAACTGTGCTGGTCGACGAGGAGCTGGTCGACCAGGAGTGACGTCGACCTGGAGCTGGTCGACCAAGGGTAGTGGTCGACCTGGTAAGGTCGACAGGAGGTGGTCGTCGACTTGGGAGGTCGACGGGCATGCACAGGAGCAGCTGGTCGACATGGTTGCCCGGTCGACGAGGTTTTGCGGAAGAGTGTGACGGTCGCCCAGGTGGTTTTGGCGAGACCGACCTTGGTGGTGGTATCCCGAGGTCGACGTGGCTGATCAAAAGTAGTCGTCAGCACGATGTTGATTCGGTGTGTGCGATGTGCAGGTGACGAGGCACTGCACGCCAATCATCTGCGAGCACCTGCGAAGCAGGTGCGCTGCTGTCCTGCGGGAGCAACGTTGGCACGCCGTCAACCTGCGACGTTGGCACGCCGTCGACTTGCAGCATTGGCAAGCCGCGACTCTGCACTGCTGGAGCGCGGTCGACCAAGTCGTGCTGGCACGCGGTCGACCGTGCTGCGCTGGCAGTAGACTTGCTTGCATGCTAGCTCTGATGTAGTCTAGTCTTGCCAACTTCATTGTATCATTGTTGTGAACTTTTGCTAGTGAAACTCTTAACAATTTTCCATGTGAACCAGCAGGTAGTGCAAGCACAAGGATACGACTAAGTGGATGAACGCAGAGATCACACGAGCACCTGTGTTTAGCTTGCGTTGTAGTAGTTATCTCCGCAAATCTCCCTTGGGCGAGCGTGCTTGACCTAGGGGCGGCCGTCAAGATGAGTTCGCTTATGTGACCATGCCACGTCTTGAGGTAGGAGATCGATGAGATCTTTTGAGTCAGCGCTGCAGTCGGGGATGTCAAAGTCGATGATATAGACGCCATCTTCAGAGTGGGCCTTTCCGATGTATCGCGGTGTGCTGTTCGGCGTGCTGTAGTCTTTCCAGTGCATGAGGATGTCGCGGGTCTCTGGGTCAGATGTCATGAGGACTCCGCTTTGAACGAGTTGGTCGTAGGAGCGCAGGTTGTACTGCAAGTCCCGCACGATGCGGATATCGTTGAGCGTGATGTGGATGTCGCTGTCGTGCGCTTTGAGGACGACGATGCCGCACGCTCGTGCGTGGAGCTGCTGGTTGTTGGCTACAGTGATGATGGTTGGTTGAGGATGGGGTATGCGTTGGAGATGTAGGGCTTGGATCCGACCATGTGTTGTCCGCAGCAGCTATTGAGGAACCATGTGTTATGGCAGTTTCCGCGATGTTGAGCCGAGAGTGTGAGGTTCGGAGTGTTGCGGAACGGAATACGTCTGTCGCCGACACCGAGGTAGTTGTCGAGGGGGCGAGTGTCAATGTTGTGGCCGAAATAGTAGGTTTTGATTGACGGTGAGTTGAGAAAATC